TGGAAGTGGAAGTGGAAGTGGAAGTGGTGCTGGGCAAGTCGGTAAGGCTGGAAGTGGAAGTGCAGGTAATGGTGGTGCGAAAAAATCTAGGTAAGGATCTTGAAGGAATGGTAACCCTCCGCATGTGCCACAAGGACTTGCTTCAACCTTATTAATAAAATGATTATTAGATAATATTCAGGTATGTTAGGATTAAGAAGTATGTCTTACCTTAGCCAAGCAGGCCAGTGCCAAAGCAAACACAATGCTAAAAGTCTTCATTTTGTATGTAATTGTTTGAAGAACTGTCGAATAATACATATAAATTGCCAGTATGGTTTAGCTTTTATACTCGAATCGTAAATATTTTGTTTTTCAAAACTTCACGTTTATTATTAGCGTCTTTTATTCACTGATTTCATTAATCTATAGTTTGTTTTTTCATAATTATCACAATAGAGATATAGCTTCAACTATTAGATTTTGCAGCAGACAATCACAGAATAGTGCATATTCAACTTAATCTCAAAAATCGGAAAAAAACATATCTTMAGATAAACTTTAGAGTGATAATAAAACATATAGTTCAAGAATTTATTTATTGATTTATTTGAATTGAAACAGAAATCAGTTGAGTACAATATTATGATAAACAATGTTTTTYGTTTTGTTTTCTGTCGCAAAAACAAACAACGAAGAACGTTTTCCAACACGCGAACTGGCAACGTACAGCTGACCGTGCGAAAAACATGAACATTCTAAATATATCCCACAGACTTCCAACAATTGGCCTTATAACGAAAATTATTATTCTTTGTTTAAATATATTATAATTTTTTGTCTAACTGTTATCCTAAAATATCTATTCATAAAACTGTGTTATTTTTCCAAAATACTATTTTCAAACATAACTAAAAAATAATTTTTTCTTCAATATTAATCAAAGTGATATTTAATTTTTAATATCTAATAATAATACTTTACAAGTTACTATACTCCACACTAAGTATGTCAAGTACAAATAATACCCTGATGTCTTATATAGGATAAATTACTACAAAGGTAAAATGTATTTTGTTGTGTTTAAAAATTAAATTAAATATAAAATTGTATTTTAATTTAATTAACAAATAAGATCAAATCATTGATCATCACAGTGCATCGTATCTCAATTTTTTTTTGTTATTGGCTGTCAGTCTTATACGCACAAATATCAAAAAATCWATCCGATTGTTGGTATATTTTCGTTMTMTTATAAATAAACAGTGATCTTTTGTTGTGACGTTRTGAGGGGTGGGRTGATAGTATATTTTAGATGGTGGCTGAGGGTYTTAGTCCTCCACGGATTTCCACCTATTTTCCAATCATAATTTCGTTTCATGTATTAATTTGCCTATTTTTATTTAYTACATGACATAAAACGATATAAAAATAAATATATACCTACCTAAATAATAATATAATTTATCAACCTTACAATTTAAACAAATATTATTTACTAAGATTTCACACGTATTCGTAAATTGTATTAAAAATATTATTGTTAAATAATTATTAAATGTTGCTATGATTTTAATCAAACACGAATACATATTCGCGATATATCTAAACGTTATTTGTACGATTTGCAGGCAAMAAACTTAATTGCCAATAGGTAATCAAACAACATATTAAAACAATAAATAACTTAGGACCAAACCCACAGGACGTTAAAAGCTTAATTTTATTCTTAAAAAAAAAATAGAATTGTACAATTTAATTTAATGTAATCATGTAAATACTAAAATACTAACAATGCCTAGTTGTCGATGTATATTTCAGATCAATAAAAAAAAATAAATAAATAACTTTATTACT